TGTGGAACAACGTCTGAATAGCACAACATACCTAAGTATCATTGCTGATCAAGTTCATCCTATCATGTTGATGGTGTATCCCAATGGAGATGGCTTCTTCCAACAAGACAATGCACCATGCCACAGTGCTTGTATTGTGCAGGAGTGGTTTCAAGAACATGAGGGAGACTTTACCTTGCTTAGGTGGCCCCCACAATCACCAGATCTCAATCCAATTGAGCATTTGTGGGACGAAGTTAAAAGAGCCATCAGGCAGCTGGTTCCACAACCATCAAATCTCACAGAACTGGACAGTGCTATTCATCAGGCATGGTGTCAGATTCCTCGCATCACCTTTCAACATCTCGTGGAGTCAATGCCAAGAAGAATCGTCGCAGTATTGAAGGCAAAAGGTGGCCCAACGAAGTTCTGATGGGGTGGTCATAATAATCTGGCCACTCAGTATGTGTATATATCCCACGTTCAAAGGCTGTTAAATCGCATTGTTTACCCATATCTTCAGAAAAAAAATCACTTCTACTGTTGTGGTAAACAACCTGCTTCCCTATTTATAATGATCTGGCCCTCTAGCCACTTCAGCGCGAAATTATAGCTAATTTGCCTACCAATGTCAGGTAGTCATAATAATCTGGCCCTCAGTGTATATAATCATGTCATCTGCAAATAGTGACAGTTTTAATTTAAATTTGGGTACCTTTTATTTCTTTCTCTTGCATGATTACTCAGGCTAGGACTTCTACTACTATGTTGAATAATAGTGACAAGGGTGGGCATCTTTGTCTTGTTTCTGATCTTAAAGGAAAAGCTTTCAACTTTTCACCTCAAAGATGGTGCTATTGATACATGGTCAAAAAGTCCTTCATTGTAATTGCCCCTCATATTTCAAAACTGTTTTATGACATGGGCTGTACAAAGTAGATTTCAAAAAAACTCAGTTTATTTCCAGGTCTGAAACATGTGCCATATGACTTTGGGCAAGTCATTCCAAGTCTTTGAATCCCCCTTTCCTCACCTCTAGGTTTGGGATAATAAGGCCTGCCCTGTGTTCCTCTGAGAGTTGTTATAAATATCAAAGAGATAATTCATATAAAATTTTTAATAATCATCCTCAGATAAAAGAAAGAGGAAAAAAAATCCAAACCAATTGATCTTTTGTCACTTAATTCCTATGCAGCTCAAATCTACAGGGATCTGTGGTTCTGATGATCATGTACTGAAAGGATTGTTCCCCATGCATTTCCCTTTAATCCCAGGCCATGAAGGAGCTGGTATTGTGGAGAGTATTGGCACAGGAGTGAGCTCAGTGAAACCAGGTGGGTAATGGGCCATAAAAGCCTTTCCATGAACAACCTGCCAAAGAGCTATCTTTACACAGTGAAGAAACTTATAATGCATTAACCTATTTATAGAAGAAATAACTTGGTTTACCTCTAGATTCTTCTAACTAATTATATATCATGATATTAAATGTATCTAGTCATTCCAAGAGTCACACAGTTTCCCTGCTGTCATCTCTAGCAATCCAGGGGCAGTGGTTGGGCCAAGTATATATTCATAGCCAAATGAATGTTGAGATGGGACCAGTGGACTTCTAAATAGATTGAAAACCTCTTAGGGTCAGGGACATTTGGGGAATATATATATATATTTGTTTAGTACAGGGCCTGTGTCAGGGGTAAAATACATTGAATGGGTTTGACAAATGAATAAATGTTCTAAACAACTAGAACACAGAACTTGAATTTTTATTAATAGGATGATAGTGCTATTTCAAAGAATCAAAGAAAGCAAGTATACGCCCTTTCCAAGACTAATCAAAAGGGACCTTGGCACACCTATTCTGAGCATGTCTGAAATGATCCGAGTGAATAAAAGCAGTCACATGGATTAAGATACTAGAAACACTCACAGCCTGTAGCCACGCACACAGAGAGAGCTAGGAAAGTGCATGGTCAGAACATTCACAAGCTGCCATCAAGGTATTCATTTGCCAAGCAAGTATGGATGTCTACCCTACATATGACACTAGTTATAGTAGGAGGGACAAAAGTAGAAAGTCATGGCCTTTACATCTCCAAGAACATACTGCAAATAGGAGGGATATATACTGTAGCTACTCTTCAGGTAGAAAAATTCCAGTGCAAGTTTTATTGAAAACGATGAGCACTTGAAGAGAAAGGACGAGAGCAGAACTTCTGAATTTGAGATCCAGTACCTTTGGGTCAGTGAAGGTACGATGTGCTATATCTAAACTACAAGAGATTTTTTAATGCCAACTAAGCTCTGCAAGAGGCCGAAGGGGAGTAGTTTCTGCGTTGTAAAAGTTTGTAAGGACTCGTATCGGAACAATATTGTAGAACTCTGCCGCGGCCTTTGTAAGCTGTGATGATCATGTTGATTTTCGTCCCTGACCCTACACTTAGTCTGTCCCCCTAGGGCCCAAGAAGGCCAGCTAGTAACTGGATCCAAATGTAATCAATATTCTTCCCACAACTCTGCAACTTAAAAGCCACCCTCCATAGAAAGTGCTCCAGAAGCAGGAAGAGGAATTACTTTTATTCTCTGAAGTTACCATGTCTTGGAATTTAGCTTCACTAAGAAAACATGTCAGAGGTCTGTCTGCTATGGGTCAGTGTGGGGAGACTATGAGGAGGCCTCCTAATAAAAACAGAATAGTGAGAGTGGATATAATAATCAGGGGCACTTTATTTTATATATGTGATTGCAATAGCATTATAGTTGATGAACTATACATGAATAGCATGAATGTGGGGCAGCGAGACTCAGTAAAGAGAGTTCTGCTGTTATCTAGCCAGGCCACTTTAGGCAGGTGGCAACTACTGTGGAACTTAAATCTTTCAAAGGGATTAAACTAGATGATATCACTAAGATTCAGTCCTGATTTCATTATTCTATTTTCAGAATAGAGGCAAGCCAACTTACAACTCTCTATCAAACAGGGGATATCTCCAAATTTCCATTATTTGCCCAAAAGAATAATGGCATTTCTGAAACCAGGTTATATGGTTTCTTCTGCCAAACAACCATGGGAAATGTTATACTGGCTGCTGTAATCTGTCCACTCCAAGTTTTCAAGTCATCCAATGAAATCTTTATAAACACATTATTGTATTTCTGTTCCAATAATAATTTTAACTAATGATCACTTTTTCCCCCCTATATATAGGAGATAAAGTCCTCACACTCGTTATTCCACAGTGTAGAGAATGCAATTCCTGCTTGCACCTGAAGGGAAACTTCTGTGAGAAACAAGAGTTAGTACATTAACCCCTCACTCTTTTACTAAATTGTTTATATTGTGCAAGCATTGACCTGTAGCTAAAGGTGCTCACTTTTCTCTTTACAACTCCATGTCCGTGCTGGTACCTGTGCCTGTGTCTGTGTCACTGTGGATTAGTGTTCTACCTGCTTCTGGATTAATGATGGATGGGACGAGCAGATTTACTTGCAAAGGAAAAAAGATTTATCACTCTTTCCGCACAAGCACCTTCTCTGAATACACTGTTGTGCCTGAGTTTTCAGTGGCAAAAATTGATGATGCTGCTCCTATGGATAAAATTTGTCTCATAAGCTGTGAGGTACCTACAGGCTATTGGGCTGCTGTTCACTCAGCCAAGGTGAGGAAGACCCCTGTGGAATAGTATGTGTCGTAGTGATTTGCCTAGAAAACATTAAAACTAGACCAATGTTTCAACTGGTATTCCAAAAGTCTCAATGGTTGTTTTTGTTTGTTTGTTTGTTTGTTTATTTTCTTAATTACACGTGTCCAGGTTTGATTCCTAATACAAACATGTCTGGTGAATTTGTAGGTCACCCCTGGTTCCATCTGTGTGGTCTTTGGACTTGGAGGAATAGGCTCAGCCATTGTCATGGGCTGCAAAGCCTCTGGTGCTTCTAGAATCATCGGAGTTGATATCAATGAGGAAAAATTTCCCCGGGCAAGAGCTTTAGGGGTCACTGATTGTCTGAACCCTCGGAACCTCAAGAAGCCAGTCCAGCAAGTGGTCAAGGAAATGACAGTCGTTGGTGTTGACTTTGCCTTTGAGGCCATTGGTCTCGTTGATACCATGGTATGTAGGCTTGGGGCACAATGAGATGTTTAACCAATGAATACACCTTAAATATCCTCATGCAGGTAAGTAAAAAATCTCCTGAACATATGTTTTAGAACTGTGAACCCCAAATCTAAAAATAGAACATAAATTTACTCTAAGGCATTCATTTTTATAAACAAACAAAATAGAAACAGACTCATTGATAGAGGACAGACTGACAGAGTGGAGTGGAGCAAGGGGGTTGGGTAAAATAGGTGAAGGGATTAACAACAACAAAAAAACCCTCATAAACACAAACAAAAGTATGGTGATTATCAGAGGGAAAGGGGGCTGGCAGATAGAAGAGGCTAAAGGGGGAATAAATGGTGACAGAAGGAGACTAGACTTAGGATGGTGAACACATAATACAGTATGCAGGTGATGTAATATAGAATTGTATACGCAAAACCTATGTAATTTTGTTAACTAATGTAACCCCAATAAATTGATTTTGAAAATAAAAGAAATATATATTTAAAGATATGTCATTATAGTATACAAAGTTTAAACATGCTAAGGCCCATAATACCAATATTCCCTTTTCTTTATTCCTAGCTCTTCATATATGTGTTTATTTAACTAGAGGCCTGGTGCATGAAATTTGTGCATGGGGGTAGGAGGGTGTCTCTCAGCCCGGCCTGCACCCTCTCCAATCTGGGACCCATCGGGGGATGTCCGACTGCCAGACGAACCGGCAGTTGGACATCCCTCTCACAATCCAGGACCGCTGGCTCCTAACTGCTTGCCTGCCTGCCTGATTGCCCCCTAACTGCTTTTGCCTGCCAGCCTGAATGCCCACAACTGCCCTCCCCTGCGGCAACCCACCTCCCCCACCGGGACCGGCCTCCTCCACACTGTGCAGAGTCACAGGACCTCCAGGCCTCACTGTGCAGAATGGCTGCTGGGCCTTGCCTCCACTGTGCACGTGGCCATCTTGTGATGATGTGAAGGTGCGACGACCTAGGCTATTATTAGTATAGGTCAGTGATGGCAAACCTTTTGAGCTCAACATGTCAGCATTTTGAAAAACCCTAACTTAACTCTGGTGCAGTATCACATATAGAAATTTTTTGATATTTGCAACCATAGTAAAACAAAGACTTATATTTTTGATATTTATTTTATATATTTAAATGCCATTTAACCAAGAAAAATCAACCAAAAAAATGAGTTCGCGTGTCACCTCTGACATGCGTGTCATAGGTTCGCCATCACTGGTATAGGTTATATACATTATTTATTTCCCATCAGATATTTATGTGTGTCCTGTGTCAGAATCATCCATTTGTTTGAAAAAATTAGCTTTTATGCACCTGTGTTACATTCTAGGGATAAAAGGGTGAATAGAATAGGCACTGCACTCTTGGATCTTACAGGTTAGAAGAGGGAATATAGACATTCAATACATTTCAGTACGTAGCTAATGTACTTAGCCAAAGATTGAAATAGAAGTAGTAATATAGGCAATTGGAAAGAGACAAGGAAAAATGGAGGAAAAGGGGGAAGACAGCAGAATTAAGACCCAGAAAGGAAGTGAAAACAGATAGATACAGCCCTAACCGGTTTGGCTCAGTGGATAGAGCGTCGGCCTGTGGACTCAAGGGTCCCAGGTTCGATTCCGGTCAAGGGCATGTACCTTGGTTGCGGGCACATACCCAGTAGGGAGTGTGCAGGAGGCAGCTGATTGATGTTTCTCTCTCATCGATGTTTCTAACTCTCTATCCCTCTCCCTTCCTCTCTGTAAAAAATCAATAAAATATATTTTTTTAAAAAAAGAAAACAGATAGATATGAAGAAATACACTATACATCTTTAGAAAATTGACTTTTTGAATTAAAAAAATGAAACTTCACACACAAATATGTACATATTTGTTTTGTTTTGTTGTAATAGAAATGAGTTGGACAGAAAGTCATGGCAAGTAAGAAGGTTAGACAAAGAATACAGGGTATGGCCTTTGAGGCAGTGGGTATTTTATTTAATAAACACATGGTGCTTACTATTTGCCAGACAGTCTTCTAAATGTTTTAAGAATGACAAATCACTTAATACTCATAACTCTATGAAGTAGATAGTATTATTTTATTATTATTTTTTTTTACAAATAAAGAAGTTGAGGCATTTGAAGGTTAAGTAACTTACCTAAAGGTCACACAGATAGCCGAGTCTGTGCTTTTACCACTAAACTCTATTGGTTCTCTAATGGGATCCCACCACTGGCAGTCTTGAAGTTGAAGTTGAAGTAGCCCCTGCCCAGGAAGAGGTTAGAAATCCTTCCACCTCTGGTGGTACTTGCTATTTATAAAAGGAAATGTACTTATATTGATGATTATCATTGTCAGCTTGCTGCTTGGGATTCTGCAACCTGAGCTACGGTGTCTGTCTGATCGTTGGGTGGGCTCCACCAAATACAAAGCTTTGCCTTGAAGCAGAAACGATTATCTCTGGACGGACAATGAAGGGTGTATGTTTAGGAGGTAGGTGGGTGAATAAATGGAACCAGTTTGTTGATCTCATGAAATCATTTTTAATTTTGTAGAAATATGGAATTCAAAATTCCTCTCCTTGAAGAAAAACAGCTATAATGGTAGAAGTCTCCAAAGATTTCTCCTCCAATGAGTTTGTGCATTTTGCAAATCAATTTTAGTTTATTTAAATAAGCAACTTTTTAAAGTTTGAATAAAATATTATCTCATGCAAAATAGTTTTGGCATTTTTTCAGTGTTCGAAATAATTCAGTCAACTTTGGTTCTAAATTGGTGGCTTCAGTTTGTTGTGCTATTTTAACAGCAATGCTCTTTGGATAATTATATCCACCAACCTGGTGTTTTGGCACTGATTTTTGCCTTCCCAGAGGAGCCCTTATTTCTGAGCAATACTGAGCAACAGCTTTAATAAATTAACATTCCCATCTCCACCCATTCCTCTGATGGTAAGTTCCCAAGCCATCACTATATGTGTAAATAAAGAGAGGAGAAAATGGTTGTGCAATAGTAAACCCAGGAGGGGGGTCAAAGACTGGTAGTTGAAAAGGGCCATTTTCCACTCAGTAGCATGTAAATATTGACCCAATTTTTCTTCAAAAGAGTTCTAGGTAACAGAACTCTTTATGGAAGCCACATTTAGCAACAGAAGTCAATGGCTTCTGATGTACAAATCTATTATTTTTTATGTTCAATGGTAACTTTTCAGAGGAACACTATCCATCTCCATGAATTATTTGATTTTTTTTCCTTTTTGTTGGCTTGGTATTTCTCACATCTTATTACAATAGCTTTTTTGTTTTTGCAGATTATAAAACCAGAGACTGTATTCCCCAACTAGTGACTTGTTACCTGCAAAATAAAATTAATATAGATCCATTAGCAACCCATCAGCTTCCTTTTGACCAAATCCACAAAGCTTTCGAGTTGTACCATGCTGGAAAAGTGTGAGTGTTTTATTTTATAATCTTCTATATTCTGAACTATATTCAGAGAAAATCATTCTTCAAGCATTTTGTGAGAAAGAGATGGCTACTTGGGCCTTCAATATTTTTCATATGCTCCACCCTATTTGCTACTAGGATAAGAAAAGGTCTTACCTGCAGCCCCTTCTTTGGGAAAGACCCACATCAACCTATTTCAAAGAAATGTTCAAGAATTTAGTTTAACACTAAGAAACATTCTAACCCACATTAGTCAATTATGTGTTATTTTTCTGGTTAAAGAAATAACCTAGAATTGTTGGGGTCCAGCCCCAACAGGTCCAGGGGGTCCCAAAGGTGTGGAAGGAGTTGGCGAAGAAGGAATGACACAGAGGCAGCGTTCAGTTGATCAGCATAGTTGGGTTCTCTCTTTATTGTCCTGTTACATCTGTATTTATACTATTTGATCCTATAAGCATGCCTCTATAATCACATCATGGTATGTTTTGGGTCCTCCCTTGACCTTCTACAGTTCCTTGTTTCATGTCCATAGTTTCTTATCTGACCTTTGCCAAAAATCCCATCTCCATCTAGTTCTGTTGATTTTAATCCTACCCATTCTATTCCAAGGTGTTATCTCCATTCCAAGGTCATTTCTCTACTTTTCTGTTAAGCTACAAGGAAGTAACTGAAGGAGATTATCCTAAGTAAAGACCATGTAGCTTAATCGTGATTGTTCGTAGTTAAGGTGATTAACTACCCGCCTGGCACTTAGTTAAGGGGTTTTACTGATTCCCTTCCTTAGTCCTGTTAATCCCTAACTCCAGGGGAAAATCCCCACCTTCGGAAAAAACCTTTCTTGGGGAGGTGGTCCTGGTTAAAACACATGGTGTTAAGAGGGGGAGCAAACATATGCCATATACGCCAGGTCCCTTGAAACATATGCTGTGCAGATGTTTCTTCCCTGCAGCGACTGTGTCAAGCAGCAAGCGCGGACCAGCTTCCAGCATAGAATAAATGAGTTGACTTTACTAGAGTCTTACAAGGAATCTTAGAGGCAGAAGTTTAGACTCCACTCAAGACACAAATCCTTTCTGCATTATTTCTGACAAGTGGTCAGTCTGCTTTAGCTAGCACACCTTCAGGGATAGATTATTCACTCATTGTGTTCATACATTCATTTATTCATTCAAAACATATGTAGTGATGGCACACTCTATGCCATGAATGCCCTAAGTGCTGAAGATACATTGGAAAACAAGCAATAAGCAATAAAGGGGGGATTACTCCTGTGATGATTCTAGTTTGATTTCCCGGTTTGATTTCCTCATTCTGATTGCAAGCACATCTTTCTTCTCCAACTGCACCTATATTCTTTACTTGTTAAGCAATGTTTAAATAGGTTTAATCTATGTTTTTAAATTTTACACTGCTATCCCTTGTTGGTTTTGACCTAGCATGTCAGCCATTAAATCAGAAATGCAAAGTCAAGGAATCTCATATGAAATTATAGGAACAAATTATGAAGAGTGGAGGGAAGGGATTTATCAAGCAGTAAGCATACTGCCAAAGGAAAGGAACCAAGGGAACCCATTTTTCTTCCCTAAATAGACATGGGACTATATTCTAAAGCTACAGAAAAGCTTATCAGAAGCTGTAGCAAAGGGTTTTAATGTTTTTGTGGTCATGCAGCCAGAAGAAACAGTGCTGAAAGCTGGGGGCTTCCATTCATGGCTGATCCAGATGGTGATATGAAAGATATCCCAATCAGATGGTGTGGTGATATTTCTTATAGGTGAACTAAGGTGAAGATGGAGTTGGGAGTGGACATGGTTAAGCAATGCAGACTCTCATGATACAGTGCATAATTGCTTTGCTGAAATCATTGTTTCTCAAGCAATTCAATCATTTTAACATTGCACTTTTATGTTTCCAGCATCCGCTGTATTCTGCTGTTCTAAGATCCAAGATGATAAAAGGCACAAGATAATCCTTGGACACTTCCTTCTTTTCCTATTTCACTTTCCTGATGGTTCCAGTGCAGTGGAATAAGGGGCATCAGAGATGGAAATGCAATGTGATTGTGCAAAATAAAACAAGTGTGTTTTGAATGTAATCATAATAAAATAACTTCTCAGAGAACAAACCTATAATAATAAAAGCATGATATGCTAATTAGACTGGACAAAGCCGAGGCTGGGAGGGAAGCCTGGGTCCTGGGTGCCAGAGGGAAGCCGGTGCCGGCAGCCGGGGGAAGGCCTACTCTTGCACGAATTTCGTGCATCAGGCCTCTAGTATTATATAATTCATTCTGTGTCCTTTAAAAAAATGATGGGATTTAATTGGTGATATTGTTCATGCTACTATCAGTCCAGCTGATCTGTCATTAGTCCATGAAAATTGTCACTGAGTTATCCCTTGTTCACATCCTCAAGTTACCTTCATGATATACAGATTTCTCTGTATCTTCCATGCCACTCTAAGTTTTATATAATGATTTGAGTCTTGCTGCACAATAATTGGTGTATGCCATGAATGCCCTAAGTGCTGAAGATACATTGGAAAACAAGCAATAAGCAATAAATGGGGGATTACTCCTATGATGATTCTAGTTTGATTTCCCGGTTTGATTTCCTCATTCTGATTGCAAGCACATCTTTCTTCTCCAACTGCACCTATATTCTTTACTTGTTAAGCAATGTTTAAATAGGTTTAATCTATGTTTTTAAATTTTACACTGCTATCCCTTGTTGGTTTTGACCTAGCATGTCAGCCATTAAATCAGAAATGCAAAGTCAAGGAATCTCATATGAAATTATAGGAACAAATTATGAAGAGTGGAGGGAAGGGATTTATCAAGCAGTAAGCATACTGCCAAAGGAAAGGAAGCAAGGGAACCCATTTTTCTTCCCTAACTAGACATGGGACTATATTCTAAAGCTACAAAAAAGCTTATCAGAAGCTGTAGCAAAGGGTTTTAATGTTTTTGTGGTCATGCAGCCAGAAGAAACAGTGCTGAAAGCTGGGGGCTTCCATTCATGGCTGATCCAGATGGTGATATGAAAGATATCCCAATCAGATGGTGTGGTGATATTTCTTATAGGTGAACTAAGGTGAAGATGGAGTTGGGAGTGGACATGGTTAAGCAATGCAGACTCTCATGATACAGTGCATAATTGCTTTGCTGAAATCATTGTTTCTCAAGCAATTCAATCATTTTAACATTGCACTTTTATGTTTCCAGCATCCGCTGTATTCTGCTGTTCTAAGATCCAAGATGATAAAAGGCACAAGATAATCCTTGGACACTTCCTTCTTTTCCTATTTCACTTTCCTGATGGTTCCAGTGCAGTGGAATAAGGGGCATCAGAGATGGGAATGCAATGTGATTGTGCAAAATAAAACAAGTGTGTTTTGAATGTAATCATAATAAAATAACTTCTCAGAGAACAAACCTATAATAATAAAAGCATGATATGCTAATTAGATTGGACAAAGCCGAGACTGCGAGGGAAGCCTGGGTCCTGGGTGCCAGAGGGAAGCCGGTGCCGGCAGCCGGGGGAAGGCCTACTCTTGCACGAATTTCGTGCATCAGGCCTCTAGTATTATATAATTCATTCTGTGTCCTTTAAAAAAATGATGGGATTTAATTGGTGATATTGTTGATGCTACTATCAGCCCAGCTGATCTGTCATTAGACCATGAAAATTGTCACTGAGTTATCCCTTGTTCACATTCTTAAGTTACCTTCATGATATACAGATTTCTCTGTATCTTCCATGCCACTCTAAGTTTTATATAATGATTTTGCTGTTTCCACAACATGCTGGGGGGTCATATATCTTTGGAAGGCTAAAGGAGTTCATCACCACCAAACCGGTATTACATGAAAGGGTCTTCTTTAAGAAAAAGAAGGGGGGAAAAAGATAAAAAAAATATTAACAATAAAATGGCAATAAATACATATCTATTAACAATTGAATCTAATAATCAAAGTAAATGAACAAGGAATCTAGTGAACAAAATCAAATGATGAAAAAAATGGAACCAGCCCCAGACGGTATGGCTCAGTGGATAGAACCTTAGACTGTGGACTAAAGGGTCCCAGTTTGATTCCAGTCAAGGGCACATGCCTGGGTTGCAGGCTGGGTCCCCAGTGGGGAGCATGCAGGAGGCAGCCAATCAATGATTCTTTCTCATCACTGTTGTTTCTACCTTTCTCTCCCTCTTCCTTCCTCTCTGAAATCAATAAAAATATATATTTATTAAAAAACTGCTGCAGAAGAAAATTAAAAATAAACTGCTGCAGAAAATCATGCCAGGCGACAACAGAACCAATTACCGCATATGATGCTATGTGATCACATGGTAATCATTTGCTGAACATTTTTCCAAGCTGTGACTCTTGGATTTAAATATGTAGACTCTAGTTGTAGATATGTAATATTTATTCATGCCAGTGAAATGACTACCATGCTTTTTTCCCCAACATATGGCCTTCTCGCTAAAATTGTTTTAAAAAATAACAGCGAATTAATAACAAAAAATAATAATCTGCTAATTTAATTATATGTAAATCTTGGTTAAAAGCATTTTAAAATTAACCCACCTCCAGTACAGCAACCTACAATTGGCGGGTTCTCATGGGTTTCAAGCTTCTCCCTGAGAAGCTAAGAGTTTGTGCCCCAAATTGGGCTCCCCAATCCTTAGCACCTTTACTGGAGAGAAAAGGCCCCAAAGATGTCTGGCTTTGGAAATCAACAGGGCTTACATCCGGAGGACCCAAGGAACTGTGGGGACCTGGCATACTTTCTTGGAGGGGTTTGCACAGGGGCTCACTTGTTCTGGGACCCAGCACAAAGCACTTTGAGAGATGCCTGGACTATATGTGAAGGCGATACCTTTGCTAATCTTAAATCATCTACCAGAGGGTCAGGGACCAGTTGGGACTTTCTTGGGGGACAGAGGCACTGGTGAGTGCCATTGTTGCACTATCCCTCTACCTAAAGCTGTGGGCAGGCCCCGCTTTCTGTCTACAACTCCCCAGCAGTCTCACTAAAGCTGGTGGGCAAGCGCCATCCACAGAGGGGCCATCTCTTGATTGCCTGGCCCTGGAGGCCAAAGAGGCCTGCATTCCTGGGACCCATGTGACTGTAACAATTAAAGACAGTTGTAGGCAGGCTACCACACCCAGGGTGCTGCACAGACAGCAGACTCTAGCACATCCCGTCTGTGTGTGGGAAAACATTATTTATTTGTCCTAGAGCTTCAACCTGGGGGACAGGATTAAGGTCTGTCACACATCTAGAGGCTACAGAGGCACTCTCAGATGTGGGCAGCAGGGCAATATCATCTTTCCACAGCTCTCGGTACCTCCTGAAAAGGAGCTTATACACTTGTCTGAAGTCCCAATTTTTACAACTGTCAGCCAGGAGACACCTTCAGATTTCCATGGAGGTCAGGCTACTTACATAATCACAAAGGTTCAAGAGACAACTAAGAGGTAGGTCAAGGTTGAAAGATAAGGTTCATCACCTATGTGATACCACTCCTTCAAGACTAAGAGAGGCAGCTGTTTTGCAAATGCATAGAAACAAACATAGTGAGTCAAACAAAATGAGGAAACAAAAGAATACATTTCAAATGAGAGAAAAAGACAAAAACTCAGAAAAAGAACTTAATGAAAAAAATACTATAAATTAAAACCATAAACATATATTACTCACTCTCTGATAACCAGTTCAAAGTAATGATAATAAACATGCTCACTGAACTTGAGAGAAGAATGGATGAAGACAGTGAGAACTTCAACAGAGAGATAAAACTATAAGGAAATAAATAGAAATAAATGCCAAATAGAAATCAGAGCTGAAGAATACAATGACTGAACTGAAAAATACACAAGAGGGATCCAACAGCAGACAATGAAAAGATGAAAAGACTCAAAGATAGGGCAGTGGAACTCACCAAAACAGAGCAGAAAAAAAAGATGCACTCGATTCTTTAGTACACATAATGCAATGAAATATGATTCCTCATAGATCACCTAGTGCAGTGGTCGGCAAACTCATTAGTCAGCAGAGCCAAGTATCAACAGTACAACGATTGAAATTTCTTTTGAGAGCCAGATTTTTTAAACTTAAACTATATAGGTAGGTACATTGTTATTAACTTAATTAGGGTACTCCTAAGGCTTAGGAAGAGCCACACTCAAGGGGCCAAAGAGCCGCATGTGGCTTGCGAGGCGCAGTTTGCCAACCACGGACCTAGTGCATCCTACTACTTACATAGATGAAGAAACATTCAGAGAACTTGTTCCTGAGTCACAGATTTATAGGGCCCTTGTAGCTTGAATATTTTGTGGGAAGTCATACACATACATTGTCTCAATTCAAATAAAAACCTATAAAAAGGTCTCTGATGAGTAGCCAACATCACCTTTTCATTAACTTTTTTATTCTCCAGTGACTAGACCAAGGTGTGGCATATATTAATTGACACAATAAAAAAAGTTGAAAAATGAAGGAATAAATAAGATAAAATATGAGAAAGGCATTAGGACACTATTTTTTTTTAATCCTCATCTGAGGATATTTTTCATGGATTTTTAGAGGGAGTGGAAGAGAAATATTTATGTGAGAGAAACACATCAATTGGTTGCCTCCTGCAGGAGCCCAGACCAGGGCCCAGGCTGGGGAGCAGCCTGCAACCCTGCAACCAAGGTACGTGCCCTTGACTGGAATCAAACCTGGGACCCTTTGTTCCGTAGGCCAATACTCTATCTATCCACTGAGCAAAACCGGTTAGGGTAACTATTGTTTTTTGTTTCTCAAGTATAGTTAACAAAGACTTCAATTAGCCAGAAAGGTCCTACTCATCTCCCGTCTGGATTGCTCAAAACACAAAGTGAAATGGGCAGTGAGGAAACCTGAATCATTAAATGCTTGGACAACCTAATGAAAGTTCAAATCATGACAGTTTTGGAAAAATGAAGAAAGTGTTCAGCTTACTGCATTTTAATGAAATTGTTGTAGAGTATATAAGTCACAATAGATGTTATGAAATATAAAACATTTCTTTGATGATCCAAGAAATGTTATTCCACAATGGGGGGATAAGGACACATATGTAATACCTTAATCAGTAAAGAAAAAAAAAAACTAATTAAATACCTCTAAAAGCTATGAAAAAAGCTATGAATGACTATACTTAACTACAAAATATAAGATGCCATTGAAGTGTGACATATTACTCTAATATTGGGATGGGAAGACTGAGCGAAGTTTACAGTTTTTTGTACCCCTTGGACTCAATAACATAAGGGGTATATCAAGGCCATAGGATAAAAGCTACGACTGGAGATGGTAGAGAGGTCTTTGAGGAATCTCAGCTGTGTGAGTGTCCTCAGTACACTTTCATGTTGACATTCTTCCTTGGGAGGATTCAGCTCAAATATTTTGGCACTTGGCTATCACTAAGGAACCAAGTCCCCTTATGTTATTGTCACAGTCCAGTTTTATTCCCTAGTTAAATAAAGAAAATTTACATTTAGAAAAAAGGAGGGTCCAGATGACGCAGTTACACAGCCCTTCCCTGTAGAAATTGTTTTTCCATAATACGCATGCCCGTGACTCTCATTTATGGCATCAAATCCTTCTAAGACCTTAAACGCTCCTGGATGTAAATCAGTCAACTTTCAATCTTCTGTAGTCAGGAGCCGAGGCTGGCTGACTCTCAGTTCTGCTTAGCACTGTCCAATTCATAGCCAGTTGTTGTTTGATATACTCTGACTCTAAAACAAGTTTTATGTATTGGGAATTCCTCTTCACACATATATACCCCAGTAAAACAAATTAAATGTAATATACACGATGGGAAATAAAATCCATGAATAGGTGTCAATGACACCAGAATGATTCTACCAACATGTCCTCCCAGGCATTTTCTTCTCTTTATCCGGGATGGACCTGCTCTGGGGCCGCCTGTCAATCTTCCTGGAATGGAGACTTCCTCAGCGTGGAGAGAAAAGGAAGTCTGGTCTATGTCAGTTTCGCTGTCATGGTAACGTCCATCAATGCCTAAACTGGGTCAATACTGTACATTCCAGAAATCTGATAAAAAGACTTTTGTTAGTAAGACATGAATATGGTTTTATGAATAGGCATTACACTAAAAATCTAAACAATCAAAATTTAAAACCAGTTTCAATAAATGCTAAGATGTTTTGCTTATTTTTTTTAAAAAAGAAATATCCCATTAAGTAATATACTTGTTAGAAATTGCCATAAAATAGTACTTTTCAAATGTATTGTGGGAGAAGAAATAAATCTAATTTGTACTATACTGATAGGATTTTATGCTTCAGCCTCTGAAGGCAACATCACACGAACTGCTCAGAGACAGCAAATGAGCAAAGATGGCAGAAGCCGCTCCTGACTCCTTTGGTCTTATTGTGTCTGGTCTTCCTAGGACTGCCAATCTCTTCTAATTTTCTACCATATCCTTTCATTTTTCATTCATATTATTGTTTTTTCTTGGAAAATATGGCTTACCCTATTTTAGGATATTAGTAAAGAAATTAAGGACTAAATACTAATCACCTGACCTATCATTTCCATTTAAGTTGTTAATGTAACCAATGGAAGAACTAAAAGTAATATAATGAGAAGCTGTAAGGAGAAGAAGGAAAGGGAGAGCTGGCTGTCTCTTTCACAATATTAATATAATTTGTTGAAATTAATAAATCAGATAAAGTACAGATATATTATTTCATTCTATGGAGTAACCACTAGAAGAACTGAAAACAGGAAATTTTGTGTGTGTGCCTCTGATTATAAGCACTTCTGTTCTATTTTAAAATGGGAAGTTGAAGATGGACTCTCTAAAACCTGAGATGCAGGGATTCTATTCATTAACTCTGAGACTGAGCCCATTCACCCTGGATGTTCTGATGCTGGTGGTCTTACCAAACCTCTTGGGGATACATGATCCCATCGATGGCCCCAACACATGCTCGATGTCACTGTCACAGACATTCTCAGTCATTATAACCTGTTCCTCAGCCCATCGTGTCCTGCTCCACCCACTGCCACTCCTCACCTGTCACCCCTTAAGGACCACCTTATGTTTTCCTAGCTGAAATGTGAGCAAGATCTCAAATGACCCCCTTCAATAGCTCCCTTGCCCTACCTTTCTTCCTCTAAAAACCTTGCATTTTAAAATTATATATTTGATTGGTTTCAGAGAGGAAAATAGAGATAGAAGCATCAATGATGCTTCTGCATGTTACAAACTGGGGATCGATACCTCCCCTGACCTCTCCCTGATCCCTCCCCCGGCCATAGCACCGAGGGAAGGAGAGGGGAGGAGGTGGGGAACCATGGGGTGGCGGGGCACTGAGGGCAGCGTCAGTGTCTGGCATCTGTTCCTTCCGCACCCAGCCACTGTCACCTCCTCTCCCGACCCCGCCGGGGCCTTTGGGCCCTGGTCCGCCTGGCCCTGATTGGCCCTGATCACCCGCCAGGCCTAGGGACCCCCACCCATGCACATTTCATGCACCAGGCCTCTAGTATATTTATAGATTGAGTGCCAAGGTTGAGAAAACTTCTGTTCCTAAAACCAGATGACATAGATTACTGTGGTACTTGAGTCACTAAATATCTATTTTTGCATAAAGCAGTTTGACTTAGGTTTCTGTCCTGACTAATACAATGTTTTGTTTGTTTGTTGTTTTTTTAATTTAATTTATTGTTTAAAGTATTACAAATAGTAGTGCATATGTCTCCTTTTTTTCCCCATGGACCTTCCCCTGGCCTTTCCTACCCCCCAGCACATGCCCTCACCCTCCACCCCCTAGTGTCTTGCATCCATTGGCTATGCTTATATGCATGCGTACAAGTCCTTCGGTTGATCTCTTTAAATAATATCTTTAATTTTGATCCGTATTTCACACTCATTCCTTCTCTGTTACCTTTCACCAATCTTTACCATTTTTTTCTAAACTATTCTCTCTTCTCATCATTTCTTAATTTTTTTCATTATTCCCCCCCCCCTCCCC